ATAGAAATAATTAACTGAATACAACAAGTAACAGAATTTAATAAATATGTTTCTTAAATGTATGTGATATATTTAATAAATACAGTATGAGTATCCAACCTTTGCATGATTTGGGGGCTGCCTGTATAACGCTTAGTAGTTTTTAAAGAATATTTACATGATCGATTTCATTTCACAGACTTGAAACCACTAGAGTACAGAGCTGTAAGGCAAATTAGAACAGCTGAGGTAGTTTAGACTATAGTTCCATTAAAAAATAATTGAGAGAACAGTAACTTCAGGTCATTCAGAGATTTCATGAAGGACATGAATACTTACGTTGATCCTTGATGAAGGGATAGGTTTGGGATTGGCAAAGAAGAATTGGAAACGTTGGATCTGGTGGGGAGGAGAGTGTCATTGAGAACCAGAGGTAGGTATGATCCTGTGTGGAGAGAACACTATGGGCTAAATGCAGTGGAGAGCCTGAGTCCGGGAGAGCTGGTTGAGTAGGAAGATCAAGCTCTAGTGACCAGTTTCTCCAGTGGGAGTTGAGGATTTGCCGCTCGATCTAAAAGGCAGGAAGTAGCCATTATAGGTTCCTGTGTGAGGTGATAAAATCAGTGCCCTGGTCAGATGTGTAAATGCTACCGAAGGAATGTGTTAGAGGCATGGAAATCATCTTTCAAGCCAGTTAATCATTTCGATGTAAGGTGCTTAGGGAAGGACCCATTCTACTGAGACCCAAATACCTGCTAGAATCTGGTTTAAATACTGGTTAAGTAGTGACAGTGGATAGGCTCTGGGGTTCATTAGGGACTGGGACAGGGAATTTTCTTGTGTAGTCAGTTTCCTGAAGTGTTCTCTTCAAATCTAAAGATTTGTGTTAGAAATTTAATTTAAAGTAAATATAAAAACATATTCTTAAACCAGACAAATATTATTTTTGGATTTGCTGGTATTTGGTATTATCTCAGGTTTTGTCCCTTCAGATAATTAGGAATTGATTGTATACAAGGAGCTTCATTCTTCCTTCTTTCAGAAAAATCTCAATGATTTTTAAAGTTTTCTTCATGTCTTGGATATTCTTTAATATTTAAAACAGAATTCAATATGAGAATAGTGAAGATCAAGAAGTAAACCCACTGAAGCTCAGCTTTCTCACCTGGATTGAAGAAGACATCTTCCTCGCCATAAGCCATAGCCAGTCCAGTGCACAGAGTGTCATTCATCATTTGACTGTGGCCCCTTCTGAGATGGAAGAAGAGCAAGGACAGCTCAATGTCAGGTGGTTCTTCCCTGTATTCCCCGTGTTAAATAAGCAGACGGAGTTTGGCTTTTGTCTTTTATGAGCATGGGACTTCGTTTGGCTTCTAGGGAGCAAGGTTGAGGAACAGTAGCTTTCTTGTTAGACACATTTATAAGAGGGTTAAGTCTAGTTTTGAGTCACGTCAAAATAACAGACCAAAAATATATCAGAAAGTGGTGAAAAATAGGATAAATATCAATATATGAGGCAAATCATTTTTAAGATGCGTTGAATGTTTTAATTCATCTACCCACATTCCTACAGAGTAATTGCTAAATCTTATAATTGATTTTAATAACTATCAAGTGTAATTAGAGTGGCTAATTCTCATGGGCTAATGCAATGGGAAGAGTTTATAAACATTTTATATGTAAACATTTTATATGTATACACACACACACACACACAGACTCGTAGTCATGTACCACATAATGATGTTCTGTCAGTGACAGACTGCATATATGATGGTGGTCCCATAAGATTATAATGGAGCTGTATCTTTTTTTTTTTGGTACTAAGTCTTTAAAATCCAGTGGATTTTTTGTTTTTGTGCTTGTTTGTTTTTTGAGAGAAGAGATCGTGCTGTGTTGCCCTGGCTAGAGTGCAGTGGTGCAGTCACAGCTCACTGCAGCCTCGAACTCCTGTGCTCAAGCAATTCTCTTGCCTCAGCCTCCGAAGTAGCTGAGGCTACAGGCCACTGCACCGGTCCCTCTTTTCTATGTTTAGATATGTTTGGATATACAAGTAGTTGCTATTGTGTTACAGTTGCCTACAGTATTCAGTACAGTAACACGCTATATAGGTTTTTAGCCTAGGAGCAATAGGCTATACTATATAGCCTAGGTATATAGTAGGCTATACCATCTAGGTTTCTTTAGGTACACTCTATGATTTTGGACAACAAAATCGCCTAATGGTGCATGTCTCAGATGTATCCCCATCATTAAGCAACACGTGAATGTATATATGTTTTGTTTTGATGTGGAGACTTCGAAATGCTGCTTCTGGCCTCCTCTTCTATAAATCCTGTTTGACACTTGACTACGTTTACCACTGGAAAGCCTCCTATATTTCTTTGGTTAACTTTTACTATTCCCTGGACCTGAGTTTTGTTTGATTCTTGACTGCATCTTCATTATGTAACAGGTTTTAGTTAACAAATGCTCTTTTCTATAATGCCAGCCCTATTGTGCAGTAGATATAAACAACATTTTCTGGCCAGCTCCTAGAACCTTAGAACCCTCAGGTTTCTAATGTCAAAACTTGACAACTTAGTCATACACTAATATTAATCCCCAGATTCATTTGTAATGAAAGCCCTACTGGTTAGATTTATATTCTGAGAACCCTTGTTGCAAAATTAGGAACCTTTCTTTACTGTAAATATAAAACACATTACTGCAGTCATTTATTCCTATTTTTTGACTCAATACTTGATGATATTTTGAAAAAGCTTTTTACGAACACATCTAGATACAGAATATATTCTAAGTAAATGCACACTCAGAGTTAGCCAGGAGCTTGCTTTTTGAAAAGCAGAGCAATTTACTGTGTTTCTACTTCCTCAAATTTGAAATTCTTTGTCATTAGCCTGAAGATGGAAAAGCTAGATGTAGTCATCTCATTTGTTGTAAAGGAAATGAGAAGTCAAATTACTGTATGTTTCTGCTGCTTTGACTTTTGCTTCTCAAAAAAGACTGTTTTATTCATACAAAAATATTAGTGTCTTTGAGGAATGCAAAGTCTCTCAGTTTATAGCTATTAATAATTTACATTTACTTGTATTTTGTAAAAGGTACTCTTGTAGTTCTTTCCCTATGTTAGTTCATTTATTTCCCATAATACCTCTTTGAAGTATATGCTGTTAGTACCATCATTTTACAGATGAGACACCTGAGGCATAGAGCAGCTAAGTAACTTGCTTGAGATTATGCACGTGGAACCAGGATCTAATCCCAGCTGGTGTAGCTCCAGAATCTATTCTCTTAATCTCTTAACAGATAATTTATCCTCACGAACTTGGAAGCATTTCTAGAGAAATTAACCATTGTTATAGTTTTTAGGGTTTCTGTAGATTGGTTACAAACTCTTTGAATTAAATTTTAACATTAGCACCATTTATTTTTATCACTGTCTCTTCCTCTTCCTTTAAGAAATTCTACTTCTCTCTGTTGACTCAGAAAAAAGTGTCATGGCAGTAACAGATTCCCCTCTCCTCATTAATGAAGACCCACAGTTTTCTATGAGTGTATATGATAGCAGTAGAGATACTGAGTATGCTTATTTTCCTACAGACTGCTTTATTTAATGCAGTTTATATTTTAAGAAGACAGAATGATACTGATGTTATCCATGTCTAATGAAGGCAATAAATTATAAGTCAATAAATTGTAGTAAGTTGCAATAAGTTGTAACAAGTTGTGCCCGGATAGGACTGATGACTTCACAATGTAGACAACTATCACATTGGCTTTGCAGAAAACAGTGTCGTGTAACAAGTATGGCTTTATCTGGGCTTGGGCTTGGAATGGTTTATGCATCCAACCAGCCATTCCTCCATCTATTCATCTATAAGTGCATATGTGTATATGTATATAAGTATATAGTGCATATATAATATTGTGTGTATATATGTATTATGTATGATATTGAAATAGGCAGTGCAGCACTAAAGGGAAATTATTTATTTCTTTTTCTATTTTGCAAAATCAGTGAAATGTCACTACTTTTGAGAAAAATGGTCTGCTCATACCACCCCCGCTTTTTTTTTTCTTACTTTCATCAGTTCATCTGTGACAGTGAATGGGGTCGTAATCAGTCTATGCTGCAGTTCCAAGACCAAGTCAGTAGCATTGCAGCTGGCTGATGGCCAGATACTTAAGTACCTTTGGGGTAAGTATCAAAGTGTTAGGAAAGCATGTTTATGACTTACGTAGATGTTTAATTCTTGAGAACATCTATCTGTGAGTGTCTTGTGGAGGGCAACATTAATTGTTAGGTCTTTTAACTACTCTGGAAGACCCTAAGCTATGGAGTGGAATTGGCAGGTGTATTCTACTCCTGTTTATTCTTGTAAAGAACTGGAATGCCCTAATGAGTTTACAAAATACAGTTGGAAAGTGATCCAAATTTCATGTTAAGGGTTTTAGCAAGTATTGGTGTTAATGATTTTTTACAAAGAGCACATCGGCTATTTGTAAACCAGATCTACCAACCTTGCAGAGTCACCTTCTTTGGCTGTTACACCATGGAAGAACCCTGGTGGATTTCTGGTTCAGTTTCCTTATCCGTGCACACAGATTGAATTGGCCATGATTGGAGGAGAGGTAAGTGAACATGGGGCAGGAAACTTACCACTTAAAGTAATTACCCAGGGACTGACAACATTAGATGGAAAGGATGAGGGCTTTGGAGGTGGACCTGGGTCTCCACTAAATGCCAAGGCAACAATGGGAAGTTATCTCACTTTCCTGAGCCATACCTTATTCATCCATAAAATGGGAAAATCAATCAATCATTGAGTGGGAGGAAGACTAAATGAGATAATATATGTGATTGGCAAAGTTTTATCCCTAGTTGTACAGAACATTCCAAGTTAGTTTTATTAAATATTTTTTGAGGAAAACAGAAATGTGTACTTGAAAATAGTATTCAGTAGGTTGTCATTCAACAAATATCAGAAGGCCTATAATTGTGGTAGATAGTAGGATACAGTGGTAACAAAACAAAACAACTTGACGAATCCCTGCTCTTCTGGTACTTGTACTCTGTCAACAGAGATATGATTATTCCCTTTGATGGGACAGTGAAGGAAATGAACAGTGTTATGGTAGAGAATAGTGAGGTGTTTGGGAGGTAATTAGAGGATGGTAGCTATGAGAATGGGAGTCCTACTTTTGGTGTCCAGGAAAGCCTCTCTGAGGCGGTGATGTATGTGCTGAAATAGGAAGAAAAAGGAGGCTCCCTTCCCAGAAAGGAAGAGTATTCCAGGTAGAAGGAACTATAAATACCTTGAGCTTGTCAGAAGCTCATTTTACTGAAGGGACTGAATGGAAGCAGTGTGGCTAGAACTTAGTGACAAGTCATAGGAGGGAGTTTGGATTTTTTTTTTTTTTATTTCACAAAGATTAGAAAGTTATTGGTGATTTTTAATCAGCAGAGTAATGTATTCTGCTTTGTGGTTGTGCTTTGTGGTTTCTAGCTACCCAGAGGAAAGTAGGTTGGAGAGGGGTGAAAGTGGAATGGACGATTGACACAGAGACTGTTGGAGCGGAGTCAGGGAAGGGGGGGAAGGAGTGTATTTGAGATCTACATAGGAGACAGAAACGATGGAGCATGGTGGCATCACGTTGCATTTTGCACTGCACCAGTCATGTCTTAGGTTTCCATATTTAGTCCTGATTACAAGAACTTAGATGTGAAATCATAGGGCAATAGAACTATGTAATAGAAAACTGAGGTTTAACTAGTTTGAAATATTAAATAGAATTGCTTGTAATTTCAATTTTATTTCTTTACAGGAATGTGTCCTTGGTCTGACTGACAGGTGTCGCTTTTTCATCAATGACACTGAGGTACCAGGGCTTTGTTTTGTGTTTGATTCTTTTCACAGTGTTGGCCCCAAGTAATATAGCTAACATTCCCTCTTGCCTCTCTTGCCTTGTGGCAGGTTGCATCAAATATCACATCATTTGCAGTATATGACGAGTTTTTGTTGTTGACAACCCATTCCCATACCTGCCAGTGTTTTTGCCTGAGGGATGCTTCATTTAAAAGTAAGTTTTCAATGCGTAAAATAGAAATAGTCCTTTTTCCAATGTCTTTTGTCGTTTGGACTTTTAAATTCTTCGCCTACTTTGGCTTTTTATCATGGATTCCTGGACTGGAGAAAACCTTTAGAGTTCATTTTCTTGGACCCCAATCTCAACATAATACCTCAGTTACATCATTCTGCACCAGTTAGTAAAGACATCTGAAGAATGAGGCCCTTCCTTAAACAGCACATTCTACAGTGAAACATTTTTCAGGAAATTTTATTATAAAACTTATCTAATATTTTATTTTGAATTACCACATAGATCCCAAATTGAGATTATGTTCTAACTTCTGTGTAATCTTCCTTTTCTCTCTGTGGCTACCCTCCATTGTACCTGGACTCCACCTTGTGATTTGTAGGATACTGACTCCATTTTTTCTCTTATTCCATGCCATGTGTGTGTGTGTGTGTGTGTGTGTGTGTGTGTGTGTGAAAAGTCCACTTATTTTCTTTGCTGTAACTTTGAAACAGAGAATCTTTCATGATTATAGTATACAGATAATGCTAAGAAACAGAAGCTGCCCTAATCCTTCCAGATCATTTGAGAAGTTGTGTATATGAACATGCATGAGAGCCCTGTAAGAGAGAGGGCATGTTCCAGGGATGAGAGTATTTATAAAAAGGGCTAATGGTCTTGAGGTTTAGTGGGAGAGCAAAGGAATCTGGTTGATATTTGCTCTCTTCTCTTTCAGATAATAGATGGGCTTTTCAACTGCAGTTAATGGAGAGTGGCTTATCATAATTCTTAAGGCTTATCCAATGGTGTCTTTAGCATTACAGGCAGGTCTGAGCAGCAGTCATGTGTCCAGCGGGGAGATTCTGCGGAAGGTGGAAAGGGGATCACGGATTGTCACTGTTGTGCCCCAGGACACAAAGCTTATATTACAGGTAAGCTGTTTTTTCAGGCTTTCTTATTTTAGATCAGTCAATACCAAGCAGAATTTTTGCAGGTTGTATTTTAGGCTCTCTTATAATTTATAATCATTTATTATAAGCTTTCCCTTGCTAGGTTTTCTGTTAGCTTTATACAAAGGTGTGTCGATATAGGCTCTGACCAATAAGGCTCAGAGAAACTTTTCTTTAAGGTCAAGATAAATATTGAGTACACTAGATTTTGCTATTATAAACATATGCTCATTTTATAGCACTGTGGTAGTTCTGTATGAAGAGTTAGGTAAAATTGTGTATCCTGGCTATTAAAATTTTTCTACTTAATTAAAAATGTTACTATTTTGATTTATTTATTTTAAGATGCCAAGAGGAAACTTAGAAGTTGTTCATCATCGAGCCCTGGTTTTAGCTCAGATTCGGAAGTGGTTGGACAAGTAAGTGCTGTGTACTATGTATGACTAGTTAGCTTTGTGATTTATGTGTGAAGACAATAAGTATTTTATTATAATTTTAAAAACTTGTAAGTATGAAAAACCTTTATTACAGATATCTTCAATAGATTCTCAGAGGTTTTGTTTTGTTTTTTTACTTTAATACTATATATTGCAGTGGACATTCCTAGCAGAAGGGGTCATGATACTCATCATGTAAATCAGGGCTTCTTTTAACTTAAGGAATCCATCTGGGCTTTAGGTGGCCTTCGAACCAGGGAAATTGTGCACCAGACTGTCTATATGTATTTATCCAAGTAGAAAGCCTTCAGCTTTCAGTAGATTTATAGAGGGGCCTATGACCCAAAAAAGCCACTGTTGTGAAGGAAATGATCAATTTTCTGAATGTATTCAAGGGAAACTTTATATTAGAAATGTCTATATTAATGCGTTGTTTAAAATATAGACCTGAGTTATGTCATGATTTTCCTCTTGTGTATATGTGGGGATGTAGTGCTCAGACTGCTATGATGACTACTCACACCTTTTAAGAAGGTAAATCAACGTGATACTTGATTTTTTTTAATTCTGTAACTTCAGAGTAGAAATCCAGTAGTAGTTGTTTGGCATTTGGGCTGTAATCTGATTATAACTGGTTTGCATAATAATGAAAATATGCTGGGTCAAGGGAGCTTAGTTTTTGTGAAATAGCCCTTCTGTCCATTTTCTATCTCCTCACAGACTTATGTTTAAAGAAGCATTTGAATGTATGAGGAAACTGAGAATCAATCTCAATCTGATATATGATCATAACCCTAAGGTAACTTTCTAAATCCTTTACCCTAGCTTACTTTATACTTGAATTAATATTCTGTACTAAAACTTTTATTCTCTTTTTTTGGTAGGCGTTTCTTGAAAATGTGGAAACCTTCATTAGACAGATAGAGTCTGTAAATTATATTAATTTATTTTTCACAGAATTGAAGTAAGTGTTTTGAATAATTCATGAGTATCATTTCCATAATTTTCTTTCTTGTTAAGGAAATTAAACATAAGCTAGAGAAGAAAAATTACATACTGTTCATTTTTAAAAAACTGCTGTAACTCTTAGATGCCAGTAGATGTTTTGCTCTTTTCTCTTCTTTTAAAAACAGCCTATTTAAAAATGACTTTAAAACATGTCATTCAGAATTATTATTTGAGTTCATTCTTAGGCATACATGTAAGACTGTTTCTTAGGAGATTGAAATCAAATGGTGTCTTTTTCTGACATGATTTTTCCTCCCAACTTTTTCAGTGAAACTTTTTAAACATATAGAAAAATGGAGAGAATTGTCCAATAAGCACTCTGTGCCACTCCCCAGATTCTCCAGTTCATATTTTTCTATATATGCTTTATCATTATCTATAATTTGTCCATCCATTATTCATCTTGTTTTTAAACAAATTTCAAAGTAAGTTGTAGACATCAGTCCACTTTACTTACCTTTAGCACTTCACCATGCATGGTGTTAACTATAGAGTGCATTCTTTATGTGTGGGTTGGTTTTTTTGGTGTTTTTTAGGTTGAATTTATCTTCAGTGAAATGCACAAATCATAAGTATGCCATTCAGTGAGTTTTGGAAAACGTACATTTCATGTAACCTGAACGCCTGTTGAGTTAAGAGAGCATTTCCTCCTTCTCAGAAAGTTGCCTCGAATTCCTTCTCAGTTATTCCCTGTCTGCCCCTCCGAGCCCCCATGCAACTACTAAGTTCTGAGTTTTCACCACAGATCACTTCTGCATGTTCAGGAACTTCATATAAATGGAAACATACAGTATTTACTCTTCTATGTACATAAAACTGCTTTCATTCAGCATATTGGCTTGAGATTCATTCATGTTTTTGCTTGAATCACTAGTTCATTCTTTTTTTATTGCTGAGTAGTGTGACATTATGTAAATAAACCCACATTTGTTTATTCCTCTGTTGCTGGACACCTTGGTTGTATCCTGTTTAGGGCTAATGTGAATAAAACATCTGCAGACATTTTTATGTAAATCTTTTGTGGCATGTTCTATTTCTCAATATTTTTATAAATAAACTATTTTCCAAAAGTCATTTTTATTATTATCTCATCAATGTGCCAGGTATATGTTACAGTTTGATTGCTGGGCCTCATGTTCAGTTAGTGACCTTTTCATACACACTCTTCTTAGGGAAGAAGATGTCACAAAGACCATGTACCCTCCACCAGTTACCAGGAGTGTCCAGCTGTCCAGAGATCCTGATGAGAAAAAACTAGATCTTATCTGTGATGCTATGAGAGCAGCCATGGAGACCATAAATCCTCACAAGTATGTATGTTGTTGCTAGTTGGCAGCTTTTGAATAACAGAAGTGTATAGTTGTCCTTGTCCAGTTTATTCATCCTTCTCATTCTGGTGTTCTTCACTTACTTCCTCAGGTACTGCCTGTCGATACTCACATCTCATATCAAGAAAACCACCCCAGAACTGGAAATTGTGCTGCAGAAGGTACACGAGCTTCAAGGTAGTGACCTGCTCACAGAGAAAGTGCTTAAAGTGGTCTTAACTATCATCAGTCTTCTGCAGGTGGCCATTACCATGTCATTGCATGTCACAGATTTAATGTGTGGCCCTTTGGTCGCCATTTGAAGACCTCTGTCAGTTTCTTTTAGTGCTGTCATACAAGCATGTATAAAAGAGTCAAAAGTATATATTCATCTGGTGTCCAATTGTGTCAGAAAAATTTATTACTTTGTCTTTTTGGCTATGTTGCTGGGTCTGTGGGTTTTTTTCCCCAAATGGTTTTGTTTTCTAAACAGTGACAGGAAAACCTCCCTCTGTTCCTGATGCTGTGGGTGCTGAAGAGGCCTTGAAATATTTGTTGCTTCTGGTAGATGTTAATGAATTATATGATCATTCTCTGGGGACCTATGACTTTGATTTGGTCCTCATGGTGGCTGAGAAGTCACAGAAGGTATGTGGAGTTACTACTTTTATGTCATTTTGGTTCGTGTTTATATAACCATAGTAATATGAAACCCTGCTCCTGATAGTGCAGTATCTTTTCTGATGTTACCCTGTGAGTACAGGACTGGAGACAGATCTCTGAGTCTCCAGGGCCCATGCTCCTAAGCCTCATTCTCTATCAGAGATCTTTGTTTATCAAAGGGTTTTAATTGCTAGGTTAAGGAAGTGAAGTAAAGTTACATGGTTATTTTAAGATTATAGGCATATGTGTGAACTAATCCTTCTCTTATAAAGGAAGCATAACAAGTGTTCATATTCCACTCCAGTTCTTTATCACATAGCTCTTTTTTCCTGGGGAAAGTGGGCACATGGAGCTTGGAAAGGCCTAGGGCCTCTTTTCCCACCTTGGTACTCATGCTATGGTCAAAAAATTTGAGCACCACTGGTCTGTTTTTTTCTGGTTTTCTGTTCCCCTATCAGTCCTTTCTTTGCTGTTGCCAGAGTGATCTTTCCAAAAAGGGACTTTATTTTATTTTTTTTTTTGAGACACAGTCTCGCTTTGTCACCCAGGCTAGACTGCCATGGCATCAGCCTAGCTCAGGGCAACCTCAAACTCCTGGGCTCAAGCAATCCTCCTGCCTCAGCCTCCTGAGGAGCTGGGATTACAGGCACGTGCCATGGTGTCTGGCTAATTTTTCTATTATTAGTAGAGATGAGGTCTCACTCTTGCTCAGGTTGGTCTCAAACTCTTGACCTCAAGCTATCCTCACACTTCAGCCTCCCAGAGTGCTAGGATTACAGGCGTGAGCCACCATGCCTGGCCCAAAAAGGGAAATCTGATCCTTCATTCCTCTGCTTATAATCCTTCATAAGCTCCTCATTGCCCCTAGGATAAAGTTCAGAAGCCATAATATTGCTTAAAAATCCTTCCTTGATCTGGCCTCTGTGTATCTTTCTGTCATCTCTTGACATTGTCATTTTTTTCTCTGCCCATTGAGGAAAGATAGTGCTTTTGTCCCCCTTCCCCCACCCCTCACCACTGCAACTACCACATGCCTTTGCAGGCAGCATTACTTGCCTCCCATGGGCTTCCACCACTCTTGCACTCACCATTCATCAGGCTAATTTGTACTCATCTAGGTTGAAGGATGCTGAGGTGGCATCTTCCAGGTAAGGTATTCTTGCCTCCCTCCAGGGACTGGGTGAGGTGGCCCTCCTATGTGCTTCTATTGTGTCCTGGGCCTACCCCAGAATACCACAATCTGACTACTTGTAGAGTGGAAGTTTCCTGAGGTTAAGGGATATGTTGCATTCTTTGTACTTATCAAATTCTTACTGTTTGTTGATTGAACACATTGGCTCAAAGTCATCCTCCACATCATGTGCATTTAATTATTTATTGTCTTTTTTTTTTTCTTATATTGTTCTTACATACAGTCATCCTGTTTGCTTAGTGAAATTGGATTAAGAACAGGAAGTACCTCTTCTTTAAGAAGAAAAAACTATTTGCTTACAGGGCTAGAGATGTACAGAGCTATGGTTGGGGGTTACCGAAAAATACTAGGTTGGCAGAGCCTCAGAGTTTTGTGTCCAACTCAGTATAATTTTATTTTTGGTTTAACATGTGGTCTTTGCAAATGAAGGGCATGGAATGTCATAAAAATAGCACCAAAAGCAATGTCTTGCACTTTTAGGAGAAACTTAAAAGCATTTATTGAATGTCGTCTAGATTGGAACCTTGTTTTCCTTATTTGGCTGTGAAATAAGTGATACTGTGAGACTCAGTTTAAGGATTAGCAATTACTGTTTCAAATGTAAACTAATCATATGTGAAAGTATTTTTACCAAATGTTTGATGTACAGTTGACCCTTGAACAACACAGGTTTGAGCTATGTGGGTTCACCTATACACAGATTTTTAGAAATAAATATAGTCAACGCTTCATACCCACAGGTTCCACCTCCGCAACCAAATGCAGATCAAAAGTACAATATTTGTAGGATGCGAAACCCATGGATGTGGAGGGCTAACTTCTTGCATAAGCTGGTTCCACAGGGCTGACTCCAGGACTTGAGTATGCTCAGATTTTGGTATTGGGGGGTGTGTCCTGAAACCAATCCCCTGTGGATACTGGGGACTTAATTTTATATATGATACGATGTATGGTTAGTGTATAATATATATTTAAAAATTATGTAGCTTTGGATTTATTGCTATAACTGTTATATATATCTGTTTTTATATGTAAATATCACAAGTAATAAAGTTCTCTTTATTATGTATTTTTTTAGGATCCCAAAGAATATCTTCCATTTCTTAATACACTTAAGAAAATGGAAACTAATTATCAGCGGTTTACTATAGACAAATACTTGAAGCGTTATGAAAAAGCCATTGGCCACCTCAGCAAATGTGGTAAGTGTGAGGATTAGTATGTTTATTTCTGTTTCAAATCTTCTTTGGAACTAGGTCAGGTATAAATCAAAATAACATGTTAGTTTAAACAGAGACTGATTTCAATTTCCACTCTTGAAAACTAACAGTCATGTATGTTCACCTATTTTGTCCTATGTTCGGAAAAGCTGAGGGTAAAGCAAATCGCTTTAACCAACTGGTGGAGCTGCCTAGCTAAGAACACAGAGCAGATCCTTTTTGGGTTAAGAATGAACACCTCCTAAATTAACTTTGGTGTCTCAAAATCAAAACTGGTTGACGATTCACCCTCCCTTGTGCTCCTTGCAAACATGTGAGGGAAACTGCCGAGTGTCTGGAATGAGTGAGCCCACTGCCCAGTATCCAGAAAGACACGGTTTTAATTGGCAGTGATGGAGCAGAACAAGCACAGTGCCAGTTGTTCTGCTTCACCCCAGTCCCTGTCCTGTGCTGCAGCAGTTGTGATTCTTCACTAAGGACTGACACCGGGGCAAGGAAGAATCACCTGGGGTGTATGTTAAGTATTCAGCTTCCAGCATCCTTGGAGAATCTGAGTCAGCTGGCCTGGGATAGGCCTGAGGTGTATATAGGTTTAATAAGCGTCCCAGGGAGGTTGAGAAAACAGCTGGGTAGCTGGAACTCTCAAGTAGAAAGCTGATCCCAATCAGTGCTTCTCCTACCTCAGAATCTGCAATGGTGTACTCATTAAAAATTCAAATTCGTGGATTCTGTTTTCCAGGTACTCTGATTATGTGGGTCTTAAAAAGGTCCCTCATTGATTTTGTTTGGGGAACATTGGTATAAACGAAGTCCATTGTGCTTCCTAGGTCTTAAGCTTGTGTTTAAGTGAATCTTATTCCTACAGGACCTGAGTACTTCCCAGAATGCTTAAACTTAATAAAAGATAAAAATTTGTATAATGAAGCTCTGAAGTTATATCCACCAAACTCGCAGCAGTACAAGGTATGTGGAATGTGAAATGAGGTTCTCATGATTTTGATCTGTGCATAAAAGGGGTGAGGATCTTGAGTTCATAATACTGTCCTTGGTTTTAAAGTTCATCTTAAAAATGAATTAGCCTCATCTCGAACTGTTTATCTGTGAGAATGATCCTGACCTGTTCTGAAGAAATTGCCCAGGCAGGAATTTGGTGGTAGTTCTTGTTTGGTTTTTCGTTTGTTTGGTTTTATTTTTTTTTCACTGCTATATTATTCCCACTGTCCAGAATAGTGCATATGTAGGAACTTAGTAATTTTTTGTTGAGTAAATAAATGGCACATCCCCAGTAAGGTTTTGAATGGAAAAATGATTGCACTAACTGATCAACCACAAGATTTTCCCAAGTTACTCAAGAGCATTTCAGGTGTGGTGACTAAGGCTCCTACATGGGAGCTGTATCACATTTTTTCATTTATTCCAAACTTCCTCTTGTTATAGGATATCAGCATTGCTTATGGGGAACACCTGATGCAGGAGAACATGTACGAGCCGGCGGGGCTCGTGTTTGCCCGATGCAGTGCCCATGAAAAAGCTCTTTCGGCCTTTCTGACTTGTGGCAGCTGGAAGCAAGCCCTCTGTGTGGCAGCCTGGCTTAACTTGACCAAAGACCAGCTGGCTGGCCTTGCCAGAACTCTGGCAGGTAAGTGTGGTCATTTATTTGTCTACCTCTACAAAGGTTTTTTGTTTCTTTGTTTTGTTTTGTTTTGTTTGGTAATTCTGCAAATAAATTGAGGGCAGCAAAGCTTGAGGTATTTTCATACTCACTGATAAAAATTAGTTTAGAATGGTTTATTAAGTAGGGTAAAGGTTAAGGTGCTGAAACAAGAGTCCCAAAATGCAGTGACATAATAAAAAAGGCAGTTTATTTCTCTCTAACACAGGGACTGATAGGTCCTTTCATTGTGTGGCTCTGCAACCTTTTAGGCAGAGGATTGTAGCTGGGTTATCTCCACATTTGTGTTTCAGTCCTTGGAAAGGGGGAAATGCTAGAATAATGGGAAAATGCTTACCTTTAATTAATTTAGAAATGACCTAGAAGTTAAACTATCATTTCTACTTCTCATTTACTGAAATTTACGTGATATGGCCACACTAATACTATATAGCTGGAGTCCATGTGCCCTGTAAGAAGGTAGATGCATTTTGGGATGGGCCATTCTGGTTTTGGCAGTAAATCATTGGAAACCATAGTAGCAATGGTCAGGAATGAGGCGAAAGAAAATGCCAAATGAACAGGCAGTCTGAAAGCAAAGGCAGGTTAGCTTCTTCAGGGTCTGGCTAGGGATCGCCTGAACCAGAGGTGAGGCTAGTAGCAGGGTCTGATTTCTTAGAGTGGAGGAGAGGTTAAGGATGCCTATGAGAAGAGTTGAGTAGGGCCTCTGGCCATCTCAGCAGTTCTTGAATTGAAGTAAAGGAATGATTGGTATATTTTTTCTCCTACCTTTTAAAAAATATTATAAATATTGTAGTCTAAAAAAAAATTCCAAATTATATCATGTTAAATTTATATACATATCGTCCTTTGTTACTTGCATTGTTCCTTTTTTCTTAGATTATAAAAATGTATGAGATTATCACCTTTTCTTTTTCTGGTTATTAGATCTGTGGTCTCATCTATAATCCCTCTCAGTTTCCAAGCTGCACTTTTAATTATTTATTCTGGCTCCGTTGTTACTTCCGCTTTAGAAACTTATGTCATTGGTAGTATATACCTTAGTTGATACCTTCTAGCTCTGTTCTTGGGATCTATTGTCTTCTCTTATGTTCTTTACAACTCTCAGCTTGCTATTTACCATGGCTAATGATGGAGTATACCTAGTTCTCTCAGATGTTTAGCAGAAAAAAAGTGGGGAGGGCAGTGGTCAAAGATTTTTTTTTTCCCCTCAGAGAACAGAGTGGTCAAAGACTTTTGAGAAATGTTATCCAGTGGAGTTACTTTGTATGCACATTTAACTTATGCAGTTTACACAGACCAGCAAAAGAAAGAAAGCTATTTAAATAGTGGCGGTGATTCTACATTTTTTTTTTTTTTTTCCCCCAGCGATTACATGCTCTGGAGTGGGCATGAGATGAGACATAGTAGACGTTGGGGTCTGCCTGCCTCTCTGGTGTGATTTATTTCTATCGGGCCAAGAGTGACTAGGATCTAAAGACACTGCATGACAACCCAAGCATAAATCAGCTACCTCCATCTAGTGCTCAACCAAAGAAACAGCAGTCTCTTCCTGTTCAGGGAAGAAATAGTTTAGTCAGAGATCCTCGGTCAGTTTCCCATATGTGTGCCTTTGGAAGCATTTTTCAAGACAAATTTTGACTATATGTGATTTTCAAATCCTGTGCTACATTTATTTTTTTATTTTATTATTTTTTTTTTTGAGACAGAGTCTCACTCTGTTGCCCGGGCTAGAGTGGCGTGACATCAGCCTAGTTCACAGCAACCTTAAACTCCTGGGCTCAAGCAATCCTCCTGCCTCAGCGTCCCAAGCAGCTGGGACTACAGGCATGTGGCACCATGCCCGGCTAATTTTTTCTATATATATATATTTTTTTTTAGCTGTCCAGATCATTTCTTTCTTAGTAGAGACGGGGTCTCACTCTTAGTCAGGCTGGTCTCGAACTCCTGACCTTGAGCGATCCACCCGCCTCGGCCTCCCAGAGTGCTAGGATTACAGGCGTGAGCCACCGCGCCCAGCCCCTGTGCTACATTTAGATTCTAACTGCCATTTTAAGGTAGGACTCGGTGGTATATATATCTGGTCTCCTCACAGAAATTCACAAAGTACATAGTTTGATACATATTATAAAAAAGACATTAAAGAATCACTTCAGCCAAAGAATCTATTTAATTTCGTTGTCAAGTGCTTATTGTTGTCTTTTCAGAAAAGCTAGTTGAGAAGAGGAAGCACATTGATGCAGCCATGGTTTTGGAACAGTATGCCCAGGTAAATTCAGTTCCTCCCTTCTAAAACCCCCCGTGAACAAGAAAGGACTTCTCAGTTGTACCTTACTGATCATGAAAAATAAAGGAACTATGAGTAATTGTGAAGTCCAGAAATAGTGTTTGCCCTGAAGGTTTTCCATGTTGATGGCTTGACTCGGAAATCTAAATTCAGTACATCTCTAAATAATAAGTTTTGTGAGGTAGAATACCACAGAGGTATACTATAATATATACTAGTGATTTGACCTTGGTAGAAAGTACTAAATTAAATCTCATGGTTGTTGTGCTTTTGTTGTTAACTTCGCAAAGTAGAAACAGAAGGGACCATTATAAAACAAAGTAATTGGACGTTATATTCTCTTTTGTCTCTTATTCCCATTCTCTCTGTTGGAAAATCTTTTTTTACCTCAGGCAGCTTGAGGGGTCCCATTTTTATAGCAGATTATAAGGATAAGTGCCCATATGAGCTTTTAATGGAATTATAGGATTCATTATGAAAATAATAAAACTACACTGACACTGGCGACAGACTAAACAATATGCAAGTACACAGCTGATGCCAGGAATTAGTGCCTTGTAAAGAAAGTTTGGCCTTTGATAAAAGTGTTTTTTATAGTTGTTACTGGTGGGCACATTTACATAACATAATTGTGCTTCTAAAATATTCCAGTATCTCTCATATAGTAAGAGTAGGTGAAAGAAGATAAATAAAATTTTACATTATTGGATACTGGAGAGAAAGTATGTTGGGTGAATGAGTTAAAAACATCAATGAATAGAACATGCCTAACAGGGTAGAGGTTGATGTGGAAAGATACCACTTAAGAGGGTTAATTAAATGGATAAGATGCCACTATCTTTTTTTTTTCCATTGTAAATGAAGATTAATTTATAAAATTATTTTGCATGATTTATGCATAATAAAATTATATGTTGTACAACTATGATATAATTTACATGTAATAAAATCAATGTACCAATTTAAAATGAAGAATCATATGCATTTTGACCAGTGTTTATAGTTGTGTAACCACCACCACACTCAGTGATAATAGAATATAGTTCTAACTCCCCCAAAAGTTCTCTACTTTCTTTTTTGTAGTCTTCTCTCTCCACTCCTAGCCTCTGGCAACCACTGATCTTTCTGTCACTAAAGTTTTGCTTTATTTAGAATTTCATAAGAATAGAGCCATATGGCATGTATTTTTTTGTGTGTGTGTCTCACGTAATACATTTGAGATTTCATCCATGTTGTAGTTTATTCCTTTTTATTGCTGAATATTTTATTGCATGGATATATCAGAAATTTGTGGATCCATTCACCAGTTGATGTACATTTAGTTTTCAGTGTGAAGTTATTATGAATAAAGCAGCTGTGAACATTCTAGTACAAGTACTTGGGACAGGAGTGGGAATGCTAGGTTACACAGTATGTGAATGTTTAACTTTATAAGAAGCTGCAGAACTTCTCTGCAGTGGCTGTACCATTTTGTGTTCCCACCAGCGATATGTCAGTGCCTCTGTTGCTCCTCTGCTCACCAACACTAGGTGTATTAATTACTGTGACACTAGGCATACTCTTTGTGGCTATATAACAATTTACCTCAAAACTCAGCAGCTTCAAACAATAAACAACTATTACTTCACTTTTTCTATGGGTCAAGAATCTGGGCAAGGGCTTTGCTAGGGTCCTTTGGCTCAAGCTCTTTGACGAGGCTGCAGTTAAGTTCTTGGCCAGGGCTGTCATCATCTCATGGCTAGATTAGTTTTTTTTGTTTTTGTCTTCTTTTTTTTTTTTTTTTTTTAATTTTACTTTCTAATTTTTGGTTACTAGTATATAGCTGACTTTTTCTTTTCTTTTTTGGTATATTTACCTGTATCCTGTAACCTTGTTAAACTCAGTCTAGAAGCTTTTGAGTACATTTTCTGGGACTTTCTGCATTAAAAAAATGAACATGTTTTCTATGAATAAAGACAGCGTTACATCTTCCTTACAATTTGTATTTCTTTATATATTTTTTCTATCCTTATTGCATTTGCTAGGACTTGCAGTAGAGTATTGAAGAGAAGTGGTAAGAGTGGACATCCTTGCCTTTTCCCCAGTATTAGGGGGGGAAATTCAGTCTTTTATTATTAAGTATAATGTTTGCTTTTTTTAGTGTGCTCTATTGCAGGTGTTGGACAAACTACAGACTGCTGCAAATCAAGCATGCCACCTGTTTTTGTAAATAAAGTTTTATTGGAACACAGCCATGACCATTTATTTACATATTGTCTATGGCTGCTTTTATACTACAACAATAAAGTAAAAAGTTGTGATAGAGATGGTTTCGTCCAAGAAGTAAAAATATTTACTCTCTAACCTTTTACAGAAATTTGTCAATTCCTGCTCTCTTGGGTTTATGAAATCTTCTATTCTAGGTCTGAGAGGTTTTTTTTTAATCATAAATGGGTGCTGAATTTTGTCAAATGTGTTTTCAACTATGATACGGTTTTTCATTTTTAGACCAGAATGATATGGTAAATCACATTAATTTTTTTCATTATTAAATCAACCTTGCATCAAAGCCAACTTGGTCATCATCTATTATCCTTTTTCTATATTAGTAGATTAGATTTGCTAAGATTTTTTTGAGGATTTTTGTGTTTGTGTTTTTGAGGGATATTGGTTGTAGTTTTCCTATGTCTTTGTCAGGTTTTGGTATCAGGATAATGCTGCTCTTATAAAATGTGGGGAAGTGTTCCTTACTCTTCTGTTATCTGGAATAGTTTGTGTAGAATTGATGTGAGGAGCTGGCTCCCAGTTAAAAGTCTGTATGTGATTTTTCAGACCTGACCATAAGCAATTACAGACTTTCACTAGGAGGCTGCATGGGGAAAAGCCACCCTCCCCACACCAGACTTGGTGTCCTGCCAGTGCATTAGAGTTTCTGAAGGGAGTTGCAGTCAAGGACTCAGGCCCCCCTGCTGGTCTTGCTCTTTGTACAGTGTTTGTATTCTGAGCCTTGGCGCCTTCATTCCTAGGTCTCTTTATCTGAGGCCTTGGGCCAAGGTCATCTTCAGGCATCTCTGCCAAGACCTCCTCATACAGGGAGGAATGGGAAACCGTGAAGACACTTTTTCCCACTCTGACTCACTACCCAGTACTTTTCCACTCCTAGCCCTCCCTCTTCGCGCCCCCACCCCCAAGGTCAATAAAACTGCTGAAGCCTTTGTTTCAGTCTCCCTGAACAGTGAGACAACCCTCACATCTGTGCTGATCAACCTGACCTTCAACCAGTGTTGTTCCTTGGGGAGGAATGGAACAGAGAGAGTTGGCACTTTCTCTGGTTTTAG